TTTTTTCCCCAACTATTAAAAAACGTAAAACCACTCTCAGCTCTCTGGCTATACAAAAACAGATGGCAGACCAGCTGTTGTTCACTGACCTTTGATCATCAGACATGAGAAGATGCCAGAATAGAGATTATCCTTGGGGTCAAGAGGCTACTGATTAGGGTAGGCCGGGGGCATTCAAGGGAGTTCTCTTTGAGGAGGAAAACTGAAAATGTTACTTATCTTGACCTGCCTGTACAGATGTAAAAATTCATCCTGATGTAACGTTTACCTCCACATTTTCTTCTTTCTTACGTGAAAATAAAAATGAGAAGTACCCCCTCACCTTTTCCCCTCTGATCCCCGAACTCATTTGACTAGGGCTTATGAGGCGGGTGACCTTGGGCAATAAAGAAAGAAGAAAGAAAACAAAAAACAAGGCAACCAAGATTCTACTTTTTGCCTTAGGATCCCCCGCCGTGAAATGGGAGTACGAGCGCTAGGGTGTGCCACGACTACCTTGACAGGCTGCTGGGGAGGCTGAGCATTCTATTTTCTCCTGATTCTACACCAACCTTTGTCTTTCTCTATATGGCCATAAAATTTCCCCGCCGAGAGTCTGAAATGCCCAAGTCGGGAGTCATTGGTAGACTGCACCCATCGGTTTCTCCAGCGCTCTGTGGAGGGAAACAACACCGGTTAGCGCTGCAAACTGTCCATTTGAGTCCAGAGGGTCAGTGGGGGAGGTCCGTGGGGTCAGGCCTGGGGACAGTGGCGACTCTGGCCATCTTTTGGCAGTAGGCGGTGGGATGGGGTAGCTTACACCCCCGCCACCACGGACGTGGCCCCTTCACCTCCGTCTAGAAATTCTTCCTGGAAGTAGACGGCAGCGAGCGCCACCTGCAGCACGCAGACAGCCCAGAGCGTAACGCGAGCCCCGGCCATGGGAGCGTGCGCGGCGCTGTCTCTGGTAACCGCCCCTTTCTTGGCTCCTGGCCGTCTAGGCGGCTGGCCAGGCCCGCCCCTGAACTACAGCTCCCGTCACGCCTTGCGATTATGACCTGAGGCACCATTGGTCCCCGGTGAGCGGTGCTCACTAGGCCCGCCCCTGAACTACAACTCCCGTCACACCTAGCGATTGTGACCTGGGGAGCCATTGGTCCCCAGAGCGCGCTGTGTGCCGGGAAATGTAGTATCTTCCGCTCTGGCGCGGTTGCCAAGGGCAACGGTCCCCTTGGGGCCTGAGTGCCTGGCTGGAGTGCAGTGGCGGCCTCAGCTGATGGACAACGTGGAAGGAAATCGGCAGAGCCGGTGGGGCGGCGACCGAGCAGGGCGCCCGAGCTCGCGAGAGGGGCTGCGGGGAAAGGGGGGCGCTCCCGGGCTGGACTGGTCGGGCGGTGGAAGGGCGGTCCCGCACCTCAGTTTCCCCATCTCTGGGGACCACGAGACCGTGTTCCAGCGCGATCTCTTCAAGGCCGGAGAGAACAGCTGAATAGTCTGAGGGGCGCCAGTGTTTTTAAAGTTCGTTTTGTTGATTTTTAACAAATTCATTGAGGTATCATTGACGTATCATAACGTTCGCCACTTTTAAGTGCGCGACTCCGCTCTTCTTAGTAAATTTACACAGTTGTGCAACAGTCGCCACGATCTTGCTTTAGAACGTCCCAGGACCCAACGGGATACCTCCTGTCCCTTTGCAGTCCATCCCCGCTCCCATCCCAGCCCGAGGCTCCCACGGATCTGCTGAGTCTATAGATCTCCCTTTTTCTGAACAATTCTGACCAATGAAATCGCCGTAGTGTGTGTGGCGTTTTGGATCTGGCTACTTTCCCTTCGTATGATGTGTTTGAGATTCTTGCATGCTGTTACATCAGTATTTGTTCTTTTTTTCTTCTTCTTCTAGTTTATTTTTTCTTTCGTCCCCTCACTAACCGCTAGACTTCCAGGGGTGTTCGTTCTTTTATTGCTGAATAGTAATTCCTCTGTAAGGGTGGACCATAGTACTTCATCCATTCACTAGTTAATGCACATTTGGGTTGTTTCCACTTTTTTTTTTTTTTTTTTTT